ATTTCAGTTCAAAATACTGAAAATAATGTAATGGCAATGTTTATACAACATGAAAATAAGGGTATGAGTTGTATGCCTTGGGAGCTAGCATGAGAGTACACATGGATGGCTGCTGGGTGTTTGCTTCTGTAAATGTACCAAAGGAGGATATTTGCTGAATACAGAAAAGCACCAAATACTAGGTATGGGCTTTTCTGAAGAAATTAAACAATATTGCTGTATTGAGCTGCAATCACTTCAGAGGTCCCCAGTGTCAGAGCGCATCGCTGTGCAATGGCCCATATGACTTGGCCCATAACCTGAGTATGTCTGAATCAATGCGACTGCTAAAATTTGAGCTGGGGAGGCTTTTTAAATTTTTCATTCAAAGGTGAATAAAGGTACTGAATTTTGTTGAGAAAGTATAATGACATTTCTAAAAGGTATTTTATATCCCTCGGACATTTATGAAGGCATATAGTAATGTTCATTTGTATTTAAATTGATTAAAATGGATAAATGTGAGGTGAAAGCACGTGGCTGGCAGTTTTTGCTTGAAGGAGACTTCACGGAAGGAACCTTGACTTTATCACTTCACTGCCCCTCCTCTCTTCATCCTAAGCAGCCGAAGTGTGACACCCTGCAGGGCATAACGTAACTTCTGGCTTTGATCCATTGACAGTCTCAGCAAATAAAGGCAACTGCAAACACAGTTTATGCGTCCAGTTAAAGTGTTTTTATGGCTGTTGTATACCTTTGAAGATTTGCAAACCAGCAATGCGTACCACTAGATCAACCATTGTCAGGTTTACCAAGCTTTTTGACAGAAAAACAAGGATAATAGTGCTTTACTTCTCAACCTCTTGTGTTTTCATGAGCTTTTTGTCATTTTGAAGTTGTACCCAAATGGTTGAGGTTAAATGCAGAATTTATTATTCGTCTTTGTTGTTTGGGTTCTGCTTTGCCGTTCATTAAAATCCACAGAGTCTGAAACAGCCACCCGAGTATAAATCAAGCTATATAAATAAACTGCCTTCTACCATAATATTTATGATTTCTCCACAAGGGAAAGTGTTTTAATATAAATGGGAATGTCACCTGGAAACACTGCGGCTAATGTACCTCCAGTGCTTGAATGGATGCTCCCATTCTGTGCTAAGTGCTTCCTCATGCCTCAGTTTAGTTAGATTTGGAAACAGGGTAATATAAACTAGAAAAAGCACTCCAAGGATATCAAGACTTTTCAGACTGACCTTGAGCTAGTGGGAGCCAAGGACATGGGATGGGCAGGATTTAGAATAGCTGTTCTGCGACAGCCTTGCCAGGTTGTCTCCTCCAGATCTACTGTTCGTACATGGTCCAGTTCCCAAATACCTGCTAATCTCCACCTCTTAGCTCTACGTGATCCTTTCTTGCAAAGCTGATTTTCTTCTCTTGATGTTTGAATGCACAGGCACAGCCTGTGTCTTCTTAAACATCCACAGTGACCAAGAGCAAGGAACTGGAAACCAAGGACAGTAAAACCAGCAAGAAATTATACATCTGAATCATAAAGGAGAAATGGATCGGTTGGCTTCTATCTTTAAAGAATTAATTCAGTCAGCTGCAATAGTTCTAATACAGCTTAGAGAAGGACTTTTTGTTGTGTGTCTACAGGATAATCTTGATCTTGACCAAACCTGAGTGACACGCAGTGACATTCTTGCCCAAGTGTGATGCTTCCTAAAAATCACAATCAAAGTAGTGGACATCAGTTGCACAGAGAAGCTCCTTTTTTACAGTTCTAATGTGACTGCCTTTGAATTTGGTCCTCATGACCTCACTGGGATTTGCTATCCTCATGCTACAGAAGCCAAAATCTACCTGTTGAACAGGGGAAAGCTCTGTCCCTTTGGGACAGGAAGCAACAGGTTTAGTCCCTGTAGAGATAAGAAAAGTTAATCTATTCCATTCAGGAATGTCACAACAGTATTCATGTGAACCCATGCAGAACTGGGGTGTTCACAAAAAGCAGATTACAGCTGTCAATGTTCTCTGCTACCAACTGGTGGCACCCTCCAATATTTTCAAAGCGTGCAGGACAGTTACCCATGGCTGTAGGGCAAAAGTGCCTTGAACGGGCATTCAGAAACACTTACATGACTAGCCGAGTCTGCTACAGCTCTGCTGTGAACAGCACTTTTGCACTTGTTAAAAGAATACCAATGAAATTTGGAAACTCCAGCTACAAGCTGAAGTTCATCTCAATTTTTCAGAGATCTGCATTTAGATGCCAGTCTCCAGAAGCTGCTAAGAGCAAAACAAAGTAGGTGGGAAATCGCTGCCCTTGTATTTTGGGTGAGGAGTTGTAACTGAGTTTGGCCTCTTACTTGAAAAAGCTTGCAATTATGCTAAAATTTTTCTCTTTCTAGTGCTGCTGCCTCTCCTCCCATGTTTCTGATGCAGCTGAAGCATACGGCCTGTAGTAATGAAAGGCATCTTTTTACTCCGTCAATACCATTGTCTATTTTATCTCTTCAGCTCACACTAGGTCTTTGAATGAAATAAAAAACAGCCCTGCTGTTATCAGTAAAGGGCAGAACAGGACAGGAAACGTGTGGTGTCGCTCTGACTAGTGCTGTGTCTTCATGCAGCTGAAGTGTAATGCTGGGAGCTGCTGCTTGCCTTCAGTATCTCTTCAACTCATCCAGACAAGAAAAGGAAATTCAAAGCACTCCCCATTTCCCTGGAGGTGTTCAGCACCCCGGATGACTCCGCTGTGGCTTCAGCAATGTGGTTCCTGCAGGTGACCTCCTGCTCTGTGCTGTCATTTGGACTGACTCAGACCTTCTTTGGCAGCAGCTTTCCTGGAGTCACTGGAAGTTTCCATCAAGTTGACCCAGGAGCTGTCACAGGCTGCCATGAGTTCACACCTCACCCACTGGCTTCTCATTGCCCAAGTTCAAGCATTTAGGGCTTGTGCAGCCTTGAAATAGAAACAGAAAGGGCAATACCACAGGCTCTCCACCAGCTTCTGCCCTGGCCAGATAAGAATGGTACTCTACTAAATTGGCCCAACGCGCTGCCATGACTCAGTTCAAAGCCGTGCAGATAAAATAAGCTAGAGCGTTGTGAGAAAAATGAAGACCAGGCTGTTAGAAAAATAGAGAGCCTTGCAGAAGCTCCAGAAGCACCAAAACAATGGAACATTTGAAGAGAATAATAATTTAATTTTATTATTAGTGTTATTGCTATTGTTTTGTGCTGTGCCTGGACTCCAGAGTCTCCCTCTAGAACTGGAGCTGTTATATCAGGCACTGGAAATGGGTGACATGAAGAGATAGCCCATGATTTTAAATAGCTCCCAAACTAAGCACCAGGGAAGGAAAAAGGAAAAGGAATGGCGGAGGAGGGAAGTACTGTTAGCATGTTGATGTTGAGAAGATGAGTTTCTTGGGCACCCAGGGGATGAGGTACAGCACAGCATCATCTTCATACCATTATAAATTCTTCTCTAATTAACTTTTTTTTCCTTAAAAGCCGAATACAGTGTCTGGGGTTTCTATTCAGATATGCCAAAGGGACTGAAGCTCCCACAGTATGCTAACTTTTCACAGGAGTCAGACTCCCATCTCCTTTTAACCAAACAGGGCTGCATTATCACTCCCTGCTTCACAACTCCACTTTTGCTATCTACACAGTACATCGTTCCTTTAACTGTCGGAACATTGCCTCTAAAAGCTAAAAAAACTTCCCATAGCAATGGCTATGGCTATCTCTCCAAGAGAGATGGCATCCGTTCAGGGCGGGGAGGAAAGGAGACAAGTATTGGAAAAATAACAAAACCAACAACCAAGGAATCAGCAGCTGTTTGATTTTGCCCAGATGCTAGCAGCATTTGCAGAAGTCCCTGCAGAAATGACTGCGTGGGCTTGAATCAGACAGAGCGGTCCAAGGAGAATGGACTTTATCACCCAGTCTTGCCGTTCATGATCGGGCAAGGATGCAGCATGTGTTCCAGGGGAACACAAGGTTTGTATGGCTGCCATTGCTTTCAGGGCTGTGCTTTGAGAGGGTGGCTTGTAGTAGTTGGCAGAATTGTAAAGGGACCTGAAGTGTGAACCATACCTCAGGCTGCCCCATACTGGTTTCTCTCAGTGCTTAATCTGTTCCCATCATCCCTCCAGCCATTGCTATGGGAAGTTTTTTCAGCTTTTAGACTGTGTTGACTGTGTGGAGACTACAGGGAGAAAAGGAAGAAGTCCAATGAAAGATTATTCTCAGACCTACGACAGAAATTTATCTTTCCTCCTAAAATCAGTATTTCACAAGGTACTCGGAAACCAGTACTCAGAACACTTTTATTCCTCTTACAAAAAACAGCCCAGCACCACTCTTAAGCCATGGCAGAAAAGAAAGACACGATATCATCTTGATCACAGTTGCTAAAAGCCTTTGTGAAGGTGGCAGGAACCAAGGGGCAAGCCTGGAGATCATTACAAGGGGCCCAAGATCCAGGAATATAAGGAGTTATACTTTTGTGTCATGGGACAGTTGGGTGGAAGCAAATGTGTTCTACCCATGGCTGAGGTTTCTTGAAGGAGAGGGGGACATCAGACGAGGGCAAGTGCAAAATCTTGTGTAACACCAATGCTGCTCTTCCCTTGCCCTTCTTTCTGGGCACCCTGTAAAGCTGGTGATGACACAGCTTAGTTCACGAAACTTGACATCTGCAAGACCAGTGTTTCACACAGCATCTTTTCTTAGTGTAGGCCCAGTAAGATGTGAAGGATTAGTATTGTGCTGTTGCTGAAATACGAGATATGCCATTTTTCTTTCCCCTGAATAAATTCAGTTTGCTTTGGGATATCAGTCAATTGTGTCTCTATCTGTTAAGATTCATTTGTGTCCTATAGCTGCTAAGTCTTTGAGAAAGGGTCCGTGTATAGCCAAGGGTGTTCTGTTTTTGTTTTCTCTTGGAGATTGTAAACGGTGTTTTTTATCATTGTGTTTAACATCTTCTGTCTCTAATCCACCTTCAGGTATCTCCATGCCTGTACCTGTCTTTGGACTACAAGATGATTCCAAAGTGTTTAAGAAAGGCAGCTGCTTACTTGCAGATGACAATTTTGTCCTAATAGGCTCTTTTGTGTCATTCTTCATCCCTCTAACCATCATGGTGGTCACCTACTTTTTAACTATCAAGTCGCTGCAGAAGGAAGCTATGCTATGTGTGAACGACATTGGCCCAAAACCCAAGTTTGCTTCATTTAGCTTCCTCCCTCAGAGCTCCCTGTCCTCAGAGAAACTCTTTCAGCGCTCTTTGAACAGAGATGTGTGGACTTCGGGGAGGAGAACCATGCAATCCATCAGCAACGAGCAGAAGGCTTCCAAGGTTCTTGGCATTGTCTTCTTTCTGTTTGTTGTGATGTGGTGCCCGTTTTTCATCACCAATGTGATGGCGGTAATTTGCAAGGAGTCATGCAATGAAGAAGTCATTGGAGGGCTACTTAACGTATTTGTTTGGATTGGCTACCTTTCTTCGGCTGTCAACCCACTTGTATACACTTTGTTCAACAAAACCTACCGCTCAGCTTTCTCTCGTTATATTCAGTGTCATTACAAGGAGGAGAAGAAACCTTTTCAGCTCATTTTAGTAAACACTATCCCAGCACTTGCATACAATTCCAGCCAGCTCCAGCTAGCACAAATGAAGAGTTTGAAAAAAGAGGCAAAAATGATGGCTAAGGATTATTCAACAGTCACGATAGGAATTCATCATTTGGATGGTACCTCCAAGGGAAGTATCAGCCCAGTGAACGAAAAGGTTAGCGGTGTGTGACGGCCAGTAGCTGCCATGAAAACCACTGGGCGTATGCTGAAAATTTCATCTGGCGGCGAGAATCCCTGATGGCTTAGGAAAATCAGCCCCGTTCAAGAGACCCTCCAACAACATCACTTACGCCTCATATTATCCTGCGGATGAAGAGCAGGATTGAAATGGTATCAAATGTGCAATTCTTTTTCATACAGTACTTTGGCTGTTTTAAGCACAGACTTTATTAAACTTATTTTTTTAATATTCTAAAGACTATATTTCTTAAAGAAAAAAATGCAATTTCTGGTATTATAACATGGGCTGTGAAGAAACCTACGCATTTCTTTTCTCTTTGCAAATGAAACCTAAGCTGTCCTTTGATGTCCTCGCAAAGTAGGCTACAGCTAGTTTGTCTCGCTACAGAGGAATTTTATTATCATTATCTGAATGAGCACTTTATGGAATTTTAAATAAAAAGATGGTTAATTTACAAATATATATTTAAAATAAATTTTAAAGCATTAAAGAAAAATCTGTTAAAATCTGTATAGATGAATTATATGGAAATTTTGTTAACAGTGTTTTTATGGCTACTTTTTTCTTCTGAATGACCATTCTGAAACATTACTGGGTTTTTCTGGCATTTGTTCTATAGTTCAAACTAGCAATCTTCAAAGGTAAATCATACTTGAATGATCCTTTGTTTTTACCACAATTCTCAATCTTTATTTCATGTCTTGTACTTTATTTCTATTCCATAATTTTTATCTGTTCTGCTTAATACTTGAAAGCAATTTTTCCAAAAGTAATTATTGGGCTTGATTCCCTGCTGCTTCCCACTGGTGTTGACATGGAAGTGAAGTGAGAGAAGAGTGGAAAATCAGGTATAACACTGCTAAATAATTTCAGGAATGATTCCACACCCTTGCTTCTGTTTGATTTCAACAGAGTCTTATTTAAGTGGAAATTTTGCAGCAGATCCTCTATCATCATTTCTCTTGGGTTAAAAAGGCCATTATGAAGGTGTCCTGTTTTTGGTTTAGGGCTGTTAGAGCCAGAATTATTAGAAAATTGTTAGTTACTCAAAATGGTTTTGCCTCTTTTCACTGATTTGCTGTTATGGTAGATTGCTCAGGAATGGTAGGTAGCTTGCACTATTAGGACTCGGCCTTAATGAAATATGTATGGGCAAACAGGACCCATTTGAAAAATAACAGGACTTATAAGCGGCACTAATTTCACTTGCATAGCTCCAAGGGCAGAACACATTATGTAAAGAACATCACATACATTGCTTGACAGAAATGCCTAGTCATGAAACTGTTTCCTTTCAGGAACCACAGACAATTTGACTGAAGCCAGTGGAACTCTGCTGGAGAGCAGAAATATAAATCTTGTACCCACCTGCAAACCCTGAATCGAAGAATTTGATTTGCTACACCATAGCAGCCATAATCATCAGAAACAGGACATATTCCAGTTTCTGGCCCTGTCCACTCTGAAAAAAGTATTATCACTGCCTACGTAGAAGCCAAACATTGTCTTCATCAGTCTTTCTCTTGAAGTTGTTGGGTTCTCACAGACCAATTAAATTTCAACTAGAGCAAAGAAGGAGAGAGACAAGGAGAAACTGAATCTGATTCTAGCCTACCAGCTGGAGTCTTTGGAAGAGGAAGATTTTTAGCTTAAAATAGAAGAAGACTTAAAACTTGGCTGACTATTTGGCTGTTTTCCCGGAAACTGCTTTTATTATTCTCATGCCACTATGACATCTAAATTTGCCCAATTTATGAGCCTTTCCTCCAACGTGGAACAGGTCAGAGCCACCAAGCACAGGTCACACAGGAGCTCTGCATGCACATAGTGACACCAACTCACTCCACACCCCTCAGCCTCCACGCCTGAGTCAAAAGCATTGTGCTGTAGTCCTGCTGCAGAGATGCCATGCATGCCATCCATCGGCTCGTGGCCATAAATGCTTTTCCCCAAAAAACCAGGAATTTAGGATCACCTGATAAATCAAGTGGTATGAATGCTTTGCTCACCAAGGTGGGTTTTACGGTCTCTCTGGCTCTGGGTACACTTGATCAGCACAACCAAACTGACCAGTTTCAGCAGAACAAAACCAGAAACTCGCTGCTCCTCTCTCCCTATGCACACCCTGCTCCCACACAGCAGCACGTGAGGGGTGCCACACAGGCACAGAGGGGATTTCAGGGGGAATCTTCTAAACACAGCTGTGCATGAGGACGACCGTAGTTGTAGGTGGGAGCAGTGACTTTCCATTGTTTTCTCAAGAGTTTGATATAGACTCTAAGTCAGGGGGTTTGAGCTACGGACAATGGACAGCTTGTACCACAGGGGACAGTCATGCAAAGGATGGAGCACTGATGGAGCACAACTTGACCAGGGCATTCCATGAAACAAGGTATTCAGGTATCTCCTGGTGTCCAGGTGTCTCCAGTGCACAAATGGAGTGATGGTTTTAAGGATTCACCCTTGGGAATGGGGAAGAAGTAGGCAGTAACAAAACCAAAGGTCTTTTGTAAGCAGAGGTCTGAGGCTCAGGATCTGCCACCAAACCAGATTGCCCTCATGTGATGAGTACTGACACAGGATCGAAGGTTTCTAACCCTGTGTGTGAGGGAAAAGGAAACAGCTGCTCCCATCCGTGGAGGGAATTGCCACGTTTTGTGCAATTTGCGCCCACCTTGATGCAAACATCTCTGGCCTTGCAAGAGAAAGAAGCAAACGGGATTGACAGCTTGGGTTCTACTGCCCGTTCGTGCCAGGGAGCAGAGCCTGCTGGCGTACTGTACGATGTATATGGCACCCTGCACTTCTCCAAAGCTCAGTTCCTTTCAAAAGTCCTCAGACTCTGTTTGCTGGTCTGCACAGTCTCCTTCACTAGTTTGTGCTTGATAAACTGGTAATGAGCATTTCACTTTCACTGCTTATACCCTCGGCTTACAGTTTGCATTTTGCCCACATGGCAGAGCAAATAAACCTCCCTGTTTCTCTTTCATTTCACCTTCTGTTCCTCTTTCACAAATTGCTCAGGTTGCAAATACTGACAGGGAATGTTTCACTACAAACAGTGAGGGTTTCAGTTGCCTGATGTTTCATTAGAAGATGACTCTAAACAATAACATTTTTCCAGCTTATTTAAATAAAACCTGTTTTGGACCTCAGAGACTTGATAGTATTTCTGTAATTGACAGCTAGAGGCAACATAACATTTTTTACACAGAAGCAGGAATATTTGATGCCTGACATTTTAATTCTGCAAGCACTCAGATTGGTAGTTTTACTGAGTGATCAGCAGCTTATGCCTAAGAAGCCTCTCAATGCCAAGAATGCACAGCAGATAAAGACCAGTATCTCCAGCTCTTTATGGACATCTTTGATAGTTTAGCGAGGCCTGATTCTGCCACCTTGCATCAAAACGTTAATAGATTTTTGTGTGGTTTGCCTTAGTGAGGATGACAGAATCAGCGTCTGAATTTGTTCTACCCACCGTGCCAGATCTGCAGGAGGTTGTTCATCAGTAGATAGCAATTAATGGAGTCATTATATTGCAGACAGATGACAAAGTTCAGCTGTTTAAAACCAGAATTTATATCACTGGGCCCACACTTGGGATGAACACTATAGTTTAGAATGACCAGCCTCAGAGCAATGCTTCCATCTTACAAAAAAATGTGAGTGTTTTCATTATGCATCAGACTGGAACGGAAACTTTTGTAATCTTCCAGGCAAAAAAAAAGAAGACATTCACATAGACGAGCTCAGAGGTTACAGCCTTCCCCTACCTTACAGGAAAAGCATGCTGAGTCAGTCTGCATCTAAAAAACCCGCTTTGTCTGAAAAAAATGTTTTAATCAAGAATTTTTCAAGTAGATTGACATTTTATTACTGTTAAGACTGCATCTGAACAATGTCCAAAGACATGAAGCTCACCATGTATCTCTTAAGCTGGTGTGCATCCTTTATACACTTCAGGGTAAAAAATCCACTGTAACTACCCCATCCAGCCAACCATGCACTGTATTTATGTAATTATTGCCAGATGGTGAGATGCATTCTATTTTGAATACCTATATGTTTGCTTATGTAAATACATAGAGAAAAACATTGGCTGTATTTTGTAATGTTAATGTAAAATGGTGTTCCGATGCTTTATTGTTTTGTCAGATACTGCTAGTAAAGCAGATTAAAATATTTAAACGCCATCAGTTGCTTTATAAACTAGAGGTTTGTCTTAAGTGGTTATTTTGGTTTGGTTTAATTTCTTCCATATAAAGTCACAGCACAATGTCTGCTAAAGGTTAAAGGAATTTTAAATATCTTGCTGGACAAAGTGAAAGAGCACATTGTGGAATTTAACTATCTCAGTAAGCTGGTCCAAAAGGAATCATTGCAATCATTCCCTTTTTCTAAGAGCAGCTATTCTACTGAAAAGGTATACTCTTTGGATAAGTACATATAGCTTTCAGTCTCACGAATAACATATTTGCAATAATAATAAGCCCATTAAATTAATTTCACAAAGAAGTCGCACTGTAAGATTAAAATTAACAAGCAGCATTGCACGGCTGCACAGACATAGGTAACACCTGAGTCACAGAACTACACTGCCATCTATTGGTAGTATTTCCTTTCACAAGGACTGTTTCAACGAACCAAACTGGATTTTGTCACCTTTCTGTTTTCTCCATTTTATAACCAAAATTAAACTATTACTCCAACCGATCTCACAGCATACACGCTCTTGTTTGCAATTGCAAAGCATATTAAAGTCGTACTGGTGTTAATAAGAAGTCCCCTCAAAACCTTGCTGTAATCTTAAGATTTCATCAAGCTTTATACCAAAGGTATATTTTTCAGAAGTTCTCAAACGAAGGGAAACAGTAGTTTTTTTAGATACAAACCCGTGAGGCACCATAGGGTGAAATGTGTTAGATAAGACTTCTGTACTGAAAATCCGTTTGGTTTTACCCCTGTAGTACTAGACTACTCTACGTAGGCTCCAGCGTGTCATAATTTCTTATGTTCCTTGAAGAACAGCTTGCCAAATTGACCTGT